ATCATATGTAAGCGCTGAAAAGTTACTGAAGAGAGCGATGTACGTACCCTGAAAAATTGCAAAATGCGCTATTGTGGTATTTTGAATTCTATATCCCCAGATGTTTTGCGGAAGATCATGACAGTGCAAAAAGGTGGCAGCAGGTGCATAGTCAGTTTTCTAGAGGGGGCATTAATTTAACAATATATCTCATTCAATTAAAGTATAGACTAATATCTCTCTAATTTGAGCACCTAGTTTCCACGAATTTGTTGTAAATAGGTGGTCTTAATTTTATTAATAAACTAGCTTGCATACCCGGCTACGCTCGGCTGTTTCAGAGTAGTTTTTAGTACTTCGTTCTGAATTGTTTTTTTTCTCTGAAAGGAGCACAGTTTGTTTCTAAGATTTCTAGCATAAAAATTCTCTCTTAGCAAACCTAGCCTGAAAAAAAAAAACATCGTACTGTTCAGCTAGCATATTTTGCATTAATTGGTAGCATCACGAAAAAACCACGAAAGTAGTCGAAATTGTCTCGAATGCCATAGTCGTAATAAGCCTCTTAACAATCCATTCCATTGTTCATCAATTTTTAGTAGTTCAAGCGAAAAACCGCTAAATTGATGAAATAAATTGATAAACCTTTGAGAGGTTATCAAATTCGCAATCAGCATATCAACTTACCCCAGTACATCAACTCTCAGCTCCTCAAAACGAAAAGTGCAAAAAGTCAATAAATCAATAGAATCAATCGATTGATTTTCAAGAGAATATCAAATTCATAACTGGCATATCAAATTACCCCAGTATAGCGATCCCCAGCGCCTTTGAACAGAAATTGCGAAAAATCAAAAAATCAATGGGCTCAATCGATAAATTCTTAAATTATTGTCATATTTATAACCAACTTAGAGCTGCGCCTTTTGCGGAATTGTGTTTTAGGCGCAGTGGCGTAACGGTGCTTCCTCTCTCCTGGTCAAGATTTGCCATTTGTAAAATAACCAAGCTGATGTCTTTAACATGAAATCAAGTGAATACTCTCATGTTGGCTCTTGAGACGAAAGGTTGGTACGCTAAAGACGTGAAAACTGCATGGACCAATTTCACTTGGTGTTTTAGAATGCATACGACTACTAGGTTTTGCCTTAAACCTTACAGGCAAGTGTTTCTGGATTACAAGACTTTTTCATAGTTCACAAAATTATTGAAATGTTATGAGGTTTGTTTGTTCATTTATATTAGTCGTTGGTAGGTTTTTCCAGAGGAGAATCATTCTTAGCTTGACAGACCTCTGTCTTTGGAGTGAAGGAGCACTCGAATCCCTCTCAAGTAGAAGCTTGGCTAACTGCAGAGTTAGGGTCATGATACTTCAAATTAATGCCAAGTCCTTTGCACTGATTAGGAAGAAGTTGGGTAACACCATAGAAGTCCATTATTATGCGGAGCAGCTTACCTGACCGTCCAAATTGGAAGTTGAAACAAACAACGAGGGTGCAACAATCTGCGTCAGTTCTTTGGTGATGTTGCACTTGAAACAAAGTCAGGCCTTTCAACTTTAAATTCTCAGAATCCCAAACAATCTTTGTCTATGAGCTGGGTTCCTGAGAGATCCAAATCTCAAAAAAATGCAGCTGCTCTCCTCTGAAATCTTCTTACCTTATTCTAAACAAGTATCAACACCAAAAGCTCATGTATATCCTGTCATTCGATACTTCGGCGCTTAACGCGAATGCCGTAAATACGGTTTCGCTTACTTCACTTATTCAGAGTAGCCCAAATTCGAGTAAATACATGCTTTCATAGCTGAAGGAAATGACGGCACCAGTTCCAGTGCGCACCGTATACTTTTGCATACAAATTGCTCTTTCTTTTCAAGATGTTGAGCGTAATTAGCCGATTTCGCGTACACGTTGCTGATTGTTTGATTAGAGACTTCGGAAATAGTTACACTATAGTAATCCATCAATCAGAAGCAGAACTGCACCTGGAGCTCATTCGTGCTATGATTTGGTAAAATTGACCGTTTTGGTTCACTTTGGTCAAACTATTTTATCAAGAGTTGACCATGGGTGCTGTACTGTCCGTAACAGAGCCAAACGCGACGCTACTTGTTGCTGCTTCTATTTGGCGTTCTTCGTTGGTTCGCGCTTGTGGACAATAGTCTTGTATGTGAGCCATAGAGAGATATAAGGAGAGTGTAAGTAGTACTAAATACTAAGGCGAGAGGCACCGTGTAAATGCGGCAGGTGTGGTGCAAGGACCGCAAATTTACGTAGGTTTGAAACATCGCCGGCTATCATTACAACACTGCCAGGTATTAGCTGACGTCAAGCA